TCCAAGGCGTAGCAAACGTCAAAGAACATCTACTTCCTTTGGACCAGATTTTGTGACATTCTTGCTTGAAAATGAGCCTCAAACTTTTAAAGCATCTATGTCGTCTTCTGATTCAGCGTTTTGGAAAGAGGCAGTCAATAGTGAGATTCAATCAATTTTGGATAACCATACATTGGAATTGGTTGATCTTCCTCCGGGAAATAAGCCTTTAGGTTTGAAATGGATCTTTAAACGGAAAATTAAAGCTGATCGCACTATTGACAAATATAAGTCAAGACTTGTTGTCAAAGGTTATAGACAAAAGGAAGGCCTTGATTACTTTGACACTTACTCGCCAGTAACCAGGATAACATCTATTAGGGTGTTAGTGGCACTAGCGGCCGTGTATGGTCTTGAAATCCATCAAATGGATGTTAAAACAACTTTTTTAAATGGAGAATTGGAGGAAGAGGTTTACATGGAACAACCTGAGGGTTTTGTGGTTCCTGGTAAAGAAAAGAAAGTGTGCAAACTTGTTAAGTCGCTTTATAGACTTAAACAAGCACCCAAACAATGGCATGCCAACTTTGACCAAACAATGTTGGCAAGTGGATTTAAAATCAACGAGTGTGACAAATGTGTTTACATTAAAAACACTCCAGCTCATGAAGTCATTGTGTGTTTATATGTTGATGACATGTTGATAATGAGCAAAAGTATGGCAGACATAAATGCTACAAAGCACATGTTGGCTAGCAAATTCGACATGAAAGACTTAGGAGTTGCTGATGTTATCTTAGGAATCAGAATTCACAAGACTCCACAAGGTCTAGCATTATCACAGTCTCACTACATTGAAAAGGTACTCGACAAGTTCAAATATTTGGATTTCAAAATTTCCAAGACTCCAATAGATGTGAGTTATGCACTTCAAAAGAATGAAGGTGAAAGTGACTCACAATTGGACTATGCAAGAGTATTGGGAAGTTTGATGTATATCATGAAATGTACGCGACCAGATATAGCATGTGCTATTAGCAAACTGAGTCAATTTACAAGTAATCTTAATCAAGTACACTGGATGGCAATGAAACGAGTTTTGGGGTATCTGAAACATACACAAAACTATGCTTTGCATTATAACAAATATCCCTTTGTGATCGAGGGATATAGTGATGCAAATTGGATCACCGGATCATCTGAAGTTAAATCCACGAGTGGATATGTTTTCACAATTGGGGGTGGAACAGTGTCTTGGAAATCATCCAAACAAACGTGCATCGCCCGTTCTACAATAGAACCTGAATTCATAGCTTTAGATAAGGCTGGTGAAGAAGCTGAATGTCTCCGAAATTTCTTGGAAAATATTCCATTTTGGCCCAAACCTTTGGCACCTATTTGTATACATTGTGATAGTCAAGTGGCAATAGGCAAGGCAGGGAGCGTTATGTATAACGGAAATCTCGTCATCGACGGAGACACAATACCGTTAGACAACTACTCTCTAGTGGTGTTATCACGATTGACTACGTTAAGTCAAGAGATAACGTGTCGGATCCACTTACAAAAGGCCTATCTAGAGAGGCAGTTGAAAGATCATCAAACGGAATGGGGTTAAGGTCTAGGACAAGTCATCATGGCGGTAACTCTACCTAGCAGACTGGAGATCCCACGAGCTAGGTTCAAAGAGATCAAACAAAGTTATCAATAATGGTTCAGCAATGTCGAACAAATCAACCAATTGTCGTGATGAAGACAATGCTAAAAATCGAGGTAAAGCATTAAGGCTTTTTGATGAGTCAATAAAGCTTAAAGCTTTTTAATGATTTGCTAAGTCTGACAGGATATGACCAGATAGTGTGTCTTTAGGATTACACGTTTAGGAATCACCTATGTGAGTGTGAAGTGTAAGTCGCTTTAAGGGGAATGAAAGTAAAGGCCCATTCTCTAAGCACTCATAAAATCAGGCGGTGTTCATGGCTGAAACGAACACAACCGTGAGAACCATAGATAGTTAAGGGTTGATTCTGTGACTTATGTTGTCTAGGTATACAAAAAAGCTCGACGGCTCAAAGATATCAAATCTACCGATTGACCGAGTATATCTGATATAAGTTCACTACGGAAAGTTCAAAGGAAAACCTACTTATCTCGATGCAATTAATTCTTGCATGTAAAACACACACGCGTCCGTGCATTCTTTTATTTTATATCCATTCCCCATTCATTGGGGGATTGTTGGGGTTTAAGCTTGGTGTAGCTTAAAGAGGGTGAATGGGAAATGGAAGGAAAAATGAAATATTTGAGTTTCCCTCCTTGGCAAAGCGACATTGTCCCATATTGGAGGAAGAAAAGAGTTTTGATGGGTATATATACAATTGCTCTTCTTATAGCTCTTAAAGAGTTAAGAAGAAGGCAAGCCTCGCGCCGTCGTCGTCGTCGTCGCTCGCTCGGCTCGGCTTCGGCTTCGGATTTGGATTCGGATTTGGATTTGGTCAAAGATTGATTGATTAATCTTTTTGGACAAAATTCCTTTTAGTTATTTAATTAATTAAATTAACTAATTAACGAAATTCAATCCGGAATAACCCATGACCCGCGACCCGGTCCGGTCCGTTTTTTTCCCGGATCATTTTAAATTTGTTTTCTAATTTTCCCGCAATATTCCTACCTGTTCCAACAGCTATAGCTGTTCTGAAAGGTTGCAAACCTTTTCAGAAACAGTGACAAATGGGCTATAAATATGCCTTGAATCCCAGAATTTTTACTTACTAGATTTTCTGATTATCTTCTTCTTCTTCTTCTTCTTCTTCTTCTTCTGCCCAATACTTTTCCAATGTGTTTTACGACCATTGAGTGGTTCGCCGTTAACCAGAGTTTTTGGTACCAATACGCTAGTAAGTTAAATTGTTCTATCATGGGAGGATATATTCCAGCACCTCGGGTACTTGGGGGGAATAATTTCCTCAAGGACACACTGTGTATCCAGTGGGCTCGATTTATTCCTCTATTTTTTTCCAGAATTTATTTTGTCGTTCTGGTTCTACTAACTTTCTGTTTCTGTTTTTCCAGAAAGTTTACTGTTTCTCCGTTTATTACAGCAATACAGATACACTAACACTACTTAGCTTTCTAATTAGATTTAATGTTTTTTCCGACAAGATTTATTTTCAACAGTGTAGAGACATTAAGGGTGTGTTTGGTATGAAGAAAAATATTTTTCGGAAAATATTGTTCAATTTTTCCATGTTTGGCTGGCTTAAATATTTTGGAAAATATTTTCCTCATGAACTCATTTAAAATTTTTCCCTATCAAGATAAGGGAAAACATTTTCTAAAACTCCTTCTCAACCTTCCCCACCCTATTCCCCATCCCCACCAACCCCCACCAAGCCACCCCGCCCCACCCCCACCTACCCACCCCACTTCCTCAACCCTCACCCCTACTCTAAATAAAAATATTATTAATAGTACTTTCTTTTAATATTATAGAGAGATTTTTTTTTATTTCAACAAATGAGCATTTTTATAATATAAAAATGTTTTTTATTTTTTATTTTAACAAGAAAAATACTTTCTTTTCATGAGGTAGAAAATATATTTTCTTTCATTTCAACAAAAAAAGTATTTTCTTTTATTGTTTAAAAAAATAATTCTTTTTCATTTCAACAAAATGAGTATTTTCTTTCCATGATGTAGAAAAAGTATATTTTTATTTCAATAAAAGGAGTACTTCATTTTCGTGTTGTTGAAAGAGTACTTTCTTTTTCAATCAAAAAAAGACTATTTTCTTTTTAATTATGGAGCACAAATTTCAACGTTATTTTTGCGTAAAAAAGTAAAGCAGCACATTAGTTCCTTTGAGTTTATGTGAATTTTTAGAAGAACAATTAAATTCTTGACAAAAATAGAGTCCTGAGAACGTTGGGTATTTGGGGGGGAGGGGGAGGGGAGGGGGAGGAGAATAGCATAAAAAAATATTTTCCTAAAAAAAAAAAATTTCTACTCTCTAACCAAATACTAGAAAATATTTTTCGGAAAAAGATTTCCACTCACCAGCCAAACAAGGACAAATAAGTGATAAAACCACTCATTTTTTATGAAACATTTTCTAAGAAAAACATTTTCCTTCCTAAAAAACACACCCTAAGTTTCTTTTTAAGAAAATACAATTTTAGAATGATTCGAAGTAAAAAATTATGACAGTTCACTTGACAAAAGAGTAGGTTGACAATACTCAATAGAGGTATTGTTTTTCAGCACGTCTAATAAACTAAGAGGCTCCAAAATTTGAATAAAATAAAGGTGGGGCTGTTTAGGCAGCCCAAATGTTGTATTTGTTTTTTTCCATAAGAATAGCATGAGTTAGCTAGTTTTCGGGCTGGTAAGTGAAAAATAGTCAATATTTGCAAAGTTATTGAAAATAGCCACTATTTTATACGAAGATAAAATCTCGAGAAAATATCCTAACTGAAACACGGAAAGTTCCAGCATAATATGATGCATTATGGAGCTCCTGCGTATAAACTTCCAGCACATTATTAAATTCTAGCACATTATGCTGGAATCTCTTATATATAAAAGTCGAACTCCAACATATTATGCTGGAAATTTTTCGGATTTTTAGGGGTGTTCTTGTTCAAATTTTACTTTTACATGAAAAAGTGGCTAAATTTCGATTACTTATGAAACCGTGGTTAATTATTAAATAGCAGTTGTAAATTAGGCTATTTATGTTTTTTTTTTTTTTTTGCACGAATTCAGATTTAGTTGGGCCTCAGTGCGGTACCGGACACGGGATCGGAAACAAAGAAAAGGTGGTCCAGTTTTCTTTTTTTCTTTTTGTATTTTTTTTTATTTTTTACATTTTCTTTTTCCTATTGGCTGTATATATAAGCATCAATGTCATGATAGACATGTATACTATAATAGGTACAATTTATCACTAACCAAGTCATGTCACTGATAAAATATCTGCAGAATTCTGATTTTTCCATGTTTATTGTGAATCTTTCTGCATCTTTATATATATGTGAAAAGCCAGGCAAAAGGCTACACACATTCATTCTTCTTGTCCCTGAACTTGAGGGAGAGAAATTCAGTGTCTCATTTTATAGTTGACAACTTTGCATATAGTGTGTGGATCATATTTCAGTGTCAAAACTATGAGTCTTCGAGTAGCCGATGGTGTAGTTGATTCGGACCACGCTCATGGTGTAGTTGACTCGGACCATGCTCGTCTCCATGAGCTAGGATACAAACAAGAACTCAACCGCGATCTCTCGTGAGTACCCTGCCTATTAATTTTAATTTCTTGATTGTTCACGCGATATAGGTGATATCAATTAATTGGAAATAGTTATGTTAGTATACTTACTTTAGGTCCTACGTTATCTAGGCGTCATCAAATGGAGAAAAAACATCTAGTAGTGCTTTTCATTTCTAGTTTTATTTTGTACTATGTTGGTGTGAGACGAGCTTAAGTGGAGAGACGACATGGTCACCAAGAATTCATATAGCTGACCCCAACTTGCTTCAGATTGAGGTGTAATAGCTATTTGGGAAAAAGATCCGAATTTGCCTTATGTATTACATTCGAAATTGCTCAATTTTGCCTTCACTTACACTTTTAGTTCATTCTTACATTTACCGTTAGCAAATTGTCTCGTATTTGCCCTTGTCATTAACACAGCTCTAACGTGTGAAATGGCCAGTAGACTCCACGTGTCCACAAATGTCTCGTATTTGCCCTAGTTGTTGTTATTATTATTGTTGTTGTTGATTATTTACCTTGTTTGCTCAAAAGTTATTACATATCTTATGAGTGCAAAACAATACAAATAATCACGGGAAAATCATAGCAAATTGTAATAATCCGTTGGACCAAATGAAAGAAACGAAAACAAGTGCTCAGACTTAGGGGGAGAAACATTCGAAACTTTTATTGATAATACTTGTTTGGTCTGCCTCTCCATGAAGAGGTTCAGAGCCTTATAATGGTGTTTTCTCTTCCCATAAGATGGGTATATTTTTCCCTTCTCTCTCCTGTCTATAGTGGAGAAGAAGCAGCCCCCTTTCTAGGGCTTCTACTCTTAGTATTTATAGCTGTGGGCTTCGTGAGCTGACAATAAGTGTCCGTGACCACGTTGGGATCTCGCCTTTATGGTGGCAGACAGGCCATGGCCTTGTTGATCGAGCCGGATGCGGGTTGAACATCGTCAATTCTGAGTGGTCGCACCACCAATCAATCATGAATTAGCTTGAAACGGGATTAACCTCGTTAATTATCGTGGGGTCGGATTCTGACCCATACAATTAGTCCCTCCGCTTATTGAGGTCGGGCCTTGGCCGAGCTCGATAAGTGGATTCCATTGGCTGTACTTCGAGAAACACGGATGGGGATGGCGACTGTTGCTTCGGTCGAGGCCGAATTCTTTTTGGCGATGGCCCTTAGCCTTGTAGAGTATTAGTATCCTGTTATTGGGCTGTCAAGTCATTGTTCGATCGAGGTCGAACTCTCCTTTTGGGCAAAGGCACTTGACCTTTTAGCTTACTTCGAGTGAGGTTGAGCTTCATTGTGCTCTGATTCTTACGTTTGCTTTGGAAACATACCCGTCGGCCATGGCGGACGGGTCGTATGTTGCACGGCCGAGGAGAATGAGGGCACGCTAGATACATGCTCGACGGTGTCAAAAAGAAAAAAATTTTAAGGCGCAAGGAGCACTTCCTCGGCATTAATAGGTCGTTATGACCATTTCGAGGGCGGGACGCCGACGGGTGATTTGCAAGGCCGCTTTACGGAGTCTGTCATAATGACGCACATTCCTATGGAATTGAACCGGCATGCGGTTGGTCACGTAGTTAATGGTGGCAGTTGGGATGCATGAGGGCCACTTGTATTGCCTATAAATAAAGGCTGAGGAATTCGTTTTCCATATTCTTATTGCTTGTCTGAGAGAAATTCTGAACAAGATTTTCTTATTGCTGTTTCACCTTCGTCTTTGTCCCCCGAACTTCGTTTCTTTCTCGTTATTGTATCAACAATGGCAGGCATTTCTTCCCAAAACGTTCTTCCGACGGACCTTCCGGTTAATTCACCGGTGATCGAGGGGCCAACTTCGGCGATGGGAGGTGCAGAACCGGTGGAGACTGGCGAGGCTCCGTCGGTCGACGAGATAGTATCTCTGCCCGGAGCTCCGATGACTGATTTCACCGCCGACGGTGGGGAGGATCAGGTGGATAAAGCCCCATTAATGGGGGAGATTGGGATGTCTCGACTGCGGGGACAGGGGGTTATCCCTGGCTATGCTGACGTCATTCTCGCTAGAAGCGAGGAGAGGGTCCACACCGACCGTAGGGGATACTGCGTCTTTTACGCCTACCCCTTCAAGTTAGGGTTTAAGCTCCCGCTCCCAATGTTGGTGGTTGAGTTCTGCCGTTATTACGGGGTATGCCCGGGTCAGCTTACTCCTTCTCTTTACAAGTTGTTAGCGATGCTCATCAAATACGCAGAATTGGCTGGTAGGGAGATTACGCTGCAGCATGTGCTTAGCCTCTACGCCCCACAGAGGGTTCGGGGTACCATGATTCGAGCGTGCCCTCGCGGGACGAGGGGCATGACT